TGTATGCTTGGTCCTTAAAGAACCATCAGCGGTTGTATAAGTCTCAACCTCATAGCTGTCGGCTGTATCTTGGTCCGAGTGGACCTCAGCCTCACCAGCAGGTTAGCTACCTTTCCCCGGCAGTACAGGTTCTGAAGTCATCTAGAAAGTACTCTCTCCACAGATGGCACCAGATGTTTGGGGATTTTTTATGTGTCCTACGGGAGAGTTACAATTTCCTAGTATGCTCCTTCCTTCGCCTGTACCTGCACAAATAAAGGAAACTCAGGCTGGGGGGTGGGAGTTCCGCCTACAAAGATTAAGTTAGAATCTTTCTTATAAGAGGTATAAAGAGCAATAAATGCTTCTCGATTGGAGAGCGTTTTGCAATGGGTTTTGTGTTTGGTTGGTTGTTGGAAATGTTGTCGATTCCCATAAATGAGGTCTGCCCCTACTATTTATAGTAGGGGAGAGCTGTACCTCAATTAGGGTACAATGACACGTGTCGCAAAGGGATTGGACCCTTGCTGACCTTTGCAAGCTTGATACATGGCAAGCCTTTATAGGGCCACGTGTCTAGGGTATTTTTACCCTAAACAACCCAGACTTCTTTTCTTTTTCTATCTTGTTTATTGGCCGACTGCTGTGGTCGGTTGTCTCTTTGGTCGGACTTCTTGTGGTCCGACTGTTTTCCAACATTGCAGAGGTCGGTCGCCTGTATATAAGCGTCTGCCTCCATCATTGCTTCTTGGAGGGTTGTCACCCTCTTTCTGACGAGATCGAACTTGAAGTTCGACCCGTCCTTTAGACCCTTGAAAAAATCTGTGTAAGCTACTTCATCAGGTAGTCCCTGTATCTGAATTCTCATCAAATTGAACCTCTTAATGTAGGAGCGCAGTCCTTCCTTCTCTCCCTGTTGTACAGCCCCCAAGTTAAGGATGGTCTTCTTCGCAGGGATGTTCATTGAAAAGTTTGATGTAAACAGATAGGCGAGTGTTTTGAAGTTATTGATACATCCTGCTGGTAAGTTGCCGAACCACTGTTGAGAAACTTCTTTCAGGGTGGCAGGGAAACACTTACACCATGTGGCATCATCCAACCCTTGGAGGTACATAAGGTTGGTGTATGCCATCAAGTGGTCTTCAGGGTTGGTAGTGCCATCATAGGTCCCTACCAACACATTCTTCACCTTGGCCGGCTGGGCGGCCTCTGTTATTTCTTTGGAGAAGGCGGAGGGCTGTTCTCCAAGTTTGAGCAACCGAAGTTTCCAGTCCAAAGGCTGGATGTTCCTTGCCGCCTCTTCTCCAAAAAGAGTAGGCTGCATGAAATATTGAGATTGCGGAACGTATGGCTGGGGAGGCACATACGGGGCCGCCTGGTACTTCTGCGAACCAGAGCGAGAGGAGGTGCTGCCTGTCTGGTTCTTAGAGTTTGATTTCGAATACCTCATGGAGGTATTGTGTGAACTGTTTTGAAAGTCAGACGTAGAGGCCGACTCTGACAGTTGGTGATTCTTCTTTTGCTCGATTATCATTCAAGCATCATAGTATGTTTTCCTTGATCCATCCAGTTGAACAAGGCGGATGGGCTTCCTCTTCCCTGGAGAAGGGAAGCGGTACTTTGTTAGGTCGATCACTGGCGCCTCTCTCCCCCTAGGTCTAGGGTGAGGAGTCGCCTCCCGATCCTTTGCAGGTTTCTTCCTCCCAGATTGAGAGGGCTTTCTGGCCGATTGTTCCTTTGCAGGAACAGGCACCCTTCTATTGATCAAGTCTTGGATCTCCCCTTTGAAACTACTCATGAGGGTTATTAGTTCATTCCTGGTGATAGGGGCAGATCCCTCAGCCGCTTGTTGATGATCAGGCGGCGGGCCGGTTGGTTTACTAGATTCAGCCAGGCAGTCTCCCCGTTCCCTCCTTTCGGTGGGAAGGGTGCGTCGAGCTCTGAGGGTCCCGTCAGGGGCCGTGCGAGTCTCGACCTCGGTATCATTATCTATATCCTGGTCAATGTAGACACTACAAGGAAACAACTGGATTCCGACGGAATTTTTCCGTCGAAAACATAGGAAATTCCGTCGGAATCAAGCCTTCCGACGGAATTACGTCGGAAATAGTCTGTCGCAGAACCCTTTGTCGGAAATTCGACCTTTTCCGGCGGAAATTCCGCCGGAAGAGGTGATTCCGACGGATCTAATTCTGTCGGCGTCGTTTTTGACTTTAATTGAAATTCCGTCGCAATTTTCCGACGGAAATTTCCGTCAGAGGTGGATTGGTTTCCGACGGAATTTTTCGTCGGAAGAGGTATATTCCGACGGAAATTTCTGTCGGAAAAGTCAATTAAAAAAAAAAAAAAAAAAAACCAGCCCCCCACCCCACAACCCACACCCAGCGCCACCCCTTCCCACCCACACCACCACCAGGCCACCCCACCCCCTGCCCCCCTGACTATCCCCTACCCCACCCACACCAGCACCAGACCACCCCCAACCCACACCCACACCTAGCGCCACCCCTTCCCACCCACGCCACCACCAGCCCACCCCACCCCCTGCCCCCACTGACTACCCCCCTACCCACCCACGCGACCACCAGCCACCCAACCCCCTGCCCCCTACCCCCCCCGAACTACCCCCCCAACCCACCCACAACCAACACTTCCCCCCTACCCCCCTGCCCCTAAACCGGACCACCAGCCCACACCCACCTACCCACACTTAATCCACCCACCCAAACCCGAAATCATCCAAAAAAACCGGAAACTACCCAAAAAACCCAAAACCACCCATATCTACCACCCAAACTCACGAAACCACCAAAAACACCCACCACCTTCAAAAGTCACCACCCACACATCACACACGCACACACAACAACGTTACACCCAAAAATCTAAAAAAAAAACAAAGAAAAAAAAAACCGAAATCGACAAGAAAAAAAATACCTTATTAATTGAAATGGCTCGAATTTCACCACAAAAACAGTTTAACAAGGCCAAATTCGGCCATGAAAAGTCTAGATCTAGGCTTTTAATGGTCGAATTTGGCCTAAAAAACCTTAAAAATAAACAAAACACACCCCGTGGTGGCTAGTAGAGGCGGTTACGATTCGACGATGGTGGTGGTTCGGTTGTGCAAGGAGACGAGAGGAGAAATGAGAGGGAGAAGATACGAGAAAAGAGGAGAAGGGAGAAGAAGGAAGGAGAAGAGAAGAGGAATTCTGAAGAAGAGGAAAGAGAAGAGAAGAGGAGAGGAGAGAGAAGGAGAAAGGGGAAGTGGCGGAAATGGAAGGCTGTTTTAGGGTTTAGTTGTTAAATTTTTTTATTTTTTATTTTTTAAATAAGTTTCCGACGGATTTTAATTCTGTCGGAAAGTCAATGTTTCGACGGAATGTATTTCCGTCGGAATATAAATTTTCCGACGAAATATTTCGTCAGAAAGCCCATAATTTCAGACGGATTTTATTCCGTAGGTAATCCGTCGGAAATTTCCGACGGAATATAAATCCGCCGGAATATACAGGATTTCCGACGGAATTTTGGGTCCGTCGGAATCTGGCCTTTTTCTTGTAGTGAGACCTGAGGGTCGTCCATGGGACGCTTGTCACTTAGAATCGGTACAGACTGTGATTCCATCTCGAAAGTACTCTCCCCATAGACGGCGCCAAATGTTTCGGGGTTTTTTGATGTCCTGCGGGAGAGTTACAATTCCGGGACTGGAATCCTTGCTCCTATACCTGCAAAACAACGGAGACTCCGGATGGTGAGAGCTCCGCCTCCGATGATCAAGTTAGTCCTTGTATGTGGAGTAAAGAGTGCGGAAAAGTAAAGGTGATCTGGTTCCTCTAAGGAGAGGAGCGATCGAGGTGTGCAATTAATGCTAAGTTTGGTCTAACAGTTAGTATGCACGTGGGAATAGTTTTCTCTTGGTGAGATGATTCTCCCCTTTAATGGAGGATAATGACCTGTTTATATAGCCTCGAAGTACATGCCCAATACTAGGTTTTTTGGGAAAACCTAGGACTGATTGGGCTTGCCTCGGGATTCAGGCCTGTGGCGGCCGCTTTCCAAGTTGGCAGATTATGGGCCACATGGCGTGGCCTGATTAGTCCATGTTAGACCTCTCAGGGTGACAAGTGGCGGACGCTGATTGGCCCACATGGTGGACACGTGGCAGGCCCGGATTGGTCCAATTGTCATGGGTAATTTTACCTTAAACACATATAATTATATAAAGATTAAATTAATACATTTAACACAAAATTAACACATAAGTAATTTCTAAATTTTTTATTTGTAAATTTAATTTCAATATTTAACGCATAATACATTTAATTTCTAAATTTACACATTTAACACAAAATTAACACATAATTATGTATAAAAGTATTCATATAAAATTAAAACATAACACTTTTTTTTTTGGAAATTATTAACACATATTTAATTTCAAATTAGTATCAAAGTTAAAAAACCAAAAAAAAAAAAACAAAAACTTTAAATAAAATTAAAAAACATAAAATTACAAACCGTGGTGGTGGCGTCTGGCCGGGACGCCGTCACCGTGGCTGTGGCGCCTGGGCCAGACGCCACTACCATGGTGGCGGTGTCTCGCCCAAGCGCCACCGCCACGGTTAAGGCTTCCCGGCCAGATGCCACCGCTACGGTGGCGGCGGTAAGGCCATACGCCGGCCAACATTTCGTAATTTTTTACCGTAAAGTACCTTGCTTTCCGGCGACTATGACGACTTTCTAGTGTCCCTCGGCGATCCAGTCCTGCTCCACATTTTTTGTGAGAGAGAATTACGTTTTGGGTAAACATTAGAAAAAAGGGCAAAAGCGTCAAAGTAAAAATAATTATGGGCTTTACGTAGAGATTTGTGGGCGATGTTTAACAAATCCCAATGGGGGCATGTTTATAAAGTCATGTTAAAATATAATAGGGGCATGTTTGTAAATTCATGTTAAAATATGGCGTTACTCGGTAAATGTCGGACGTGGTTTAACAATTCACTTTAAAAAAAACATTCATATAAACGGTTTACATTGATCAGCAGAAATGGACGGCTTTACAACCACCTTCGAACAGGTAAAACTTCAACTCCCTTCTCAGTATTCCTCCAAAACAAACACCCTATGACACCTACACCAGCAGCGCAAGTGGGCATGGAGCCACCAGAATGTCCAGTTTGCCTACAATCCTACGACGGCGACACCACAATTCCCCGCGTACTCGGATGCGGGCATTCAGCGTGCGAGCCCTGCCTCGCACACCTCAATCTCCTTCGCCCTATCACCCTCCCGCACACCCTACGCTGCCCATCTTGTACTCAGCTCGTCAACTTCCCTCATCCTCAAGGCCCCTCCGCACTCCCTAAGAACATCGACCTCCTCCGTTTCTCTCTCCTCCTCCAAGACCAAGACCGAGACCAAGACCAACACACCAACTCAAAACCCCAAAAGAATAACTCCAACAAACCCCTTCTTAATGACAATTCCTCTTTACGACGTCGTTTTCTACCTCGAATATGGTCGGAGGAGTTGTATTCTGCTTGGAAGGACTGGATTCTTCCCTACGGCGCGGTTTCGATTGAGGATGAATTGGTCAGTACTACTGGTAGAATTAACATTAGTTCCAATTTTGTGGATTTGAGTTTATCTTCTATTATGCGGTGTCGTTTAGTTGAAAATCATGTGGTTGGTCTTGTTAAAGTTGGGCGTTTTGTGTTGAGTGATCCTTTGTTGGAGTATAGTTATGTGGGTAAAATTATGAGGGTCCTTAGTTTGATGAGTGATTATCAAAGGAATGAAATAAGTAACATTTTGGGTGTTTCCATGAAATATTCTAGAGTTTGCAGGGTTCTTGGGCTTTGGCTCAATGTTGAAAATGATGGGTTTCTTTATTTAGTTACTGAGAAATTAAATAATGGGTTTTTGAATTCGGGAAATTTAGGATATGAGATTGATCAATATAACACGGAATGGGGGTGTTTGTTGGGGTCAATTGGTGTTGACTTGTGTGAAGCTATTATCAGTTTGCATTCAGAAGGCTTTGTGTGTGGTTTTTTAAATATGTCTTGCCTTTGCTTTGATGAGTTTGGGCATGTTTGCATTGATATAGGCGAGGCCTTGGTGATGGGAAGGAAGTTCCGTCAGTGTTTTGTGGAGGGAATCAAAGGTGGGCGGGAAATCGATGGTTTTGACGTTGAACTGTTTATTGGGAATATGCTGGACATGGGTGCATTTGTGAGCCCAGAGGTGTGGATGGAGTTGCTTGGTAGGGAAAATATTGAGGTAGATAAAAATGATGTGAGTTACCCAGTTTGTTATAAATCTGATAGCTGGTTATTAGCCTGTGTTTTGATAAATCTCCTTATTGGGAATAAGATTTCTGTAGAGATGTACAATTACTTGAAATTTGTCTTTCAAGGAAAGAATGAGCGAGTTTCTGAGTATAAAATCAATTATCTTCAGTGGATAGAAACGATAAATGCTATGTTGGAGCCGTCAGTGGGTACTGAATATGCATCAGTACATGAGATTTTGCTCAAATGCTTGGCTTTTGATCCAGGAACTAGACCACTTGTAACTGATGTGTGGAAGTGTATCAAAGGATTGAGATCTTACCATTTTATTAATAATGTCTCTAGCTTGGATAGTGGATCCATGAAGGAGAACATTGGCCAATGTTTGGCTTTGGGAGAGCTGTGCAATATTTTAAATGATGCAAGAAACGAATCAAGAATATCCAAGTTACCCGAGGAACATGATGATTGTAAACCAAACCGTAATCTGGTGGGGGAAAATACAGTTGATAATGTTGTTAAGGGACTATCTGCTGGTAAATTGCAATGTAAGGTTTTGCAAGGCCATCTGGATTGTGTAACAGGATTATGTGTTGGAGGTAAGATTTCCACTATGTGCTTATTGTGATTTGTATCGGTTTATAATGTTCCATGATAATTAAAAGATAGCTATTGTTTGGTCTGATAAGTATACAATGATTTAACCAAAAAGCTCTCAAGGAAAAAAAACCATAAGGAAACACATATATGTATTACAGTATATACTTATCCGTCAGTCTCATAACATTGTTTTGCTATTTGTTTAGTAAGTCTATAAAGAGAAACAATATTGCCAATGTCAATGAATAAAATTTATCTTGATACGTATGTTAGCATATTTAATAAACAGAACCCCTTGTACACACAGTATAGTGGTTATGCAACTTGCGACAGAATTACAAATTTTCTACAGCAATTTTAGCAATCATAGTGGAGTACATGATGCATTACCAATTTCCTGACTTCAAACAGATAAGTCTGCTGAACTTAATACTATATAGGTTACATACACTGCAAGCCTGACCAGAAAGTAAAGATCACATGACTAGGGAACAATAGGTTGTTATTGTCTTCCAAATTCAAACAAAACTTAACTACTATCTCTAGTAAAGTGATAAGTAAGGTTCATTCTTCCACAAAATACTAAAGAGTGTTGATTTGTTTCAAAGAAGCAATAAGCTAGGCAGGAAAGAGTTTATATAAATTACCAATTATAAGACTCTTAAAGCAAAAGAGAATAGGGATGTGTTCAAGCTCCAATTAATCACGAAATTAAGAACAGTGAGATTAAGCAAGGATATTTCAAACACTACAAGGATGATAAACTGATCATCTAAGCTACTTCAAAACATTTCTCCTGAATATGAAGCTATTCTCAATGATGAACATACAAAGGCTTTCGCTGAATGTATCTCTTTGTCAAATTACAAATAAGCATAGATCAACTATAGGCTTCACAAGATTACACTTCCATGTCAAAACAAATCCAACCTACTCCATATAGCTAAGCAACGCCTACGTGATCGAGTGTAACAATGAATAAATAAGTGGATACAAACTACTTTAGTTGGTTAAAGTCTTGGGGGATGGATCAAATCCCGTCTATATCATTATTTTTCCAACTATGTTTATACCAAAAAAAAATTAATAGCTCAATTAAGCAATTAAGTAAAATGCAAAATCTCTCAGTTTCAATCTTGAAATCTCAATTCAATCATAACTAGTGTCTCATCCAATCCCTAATCAAAATTCTACAAGTAACTCAAAGAGTAAAAAATTAACAAGCTTTAATTCAATTCAAATGTATGAGAAATTAAGAAGATGAAAGCTATAACATCTAATCTAAGCATTTCAATTTGTGCTAAGCATGAGATATTGAAGTAGAAAGAGGAACAAATCCAACAATGCATTTTGAAAGGAAAGAGAGTGAAATTCTCATTGATTGATTGAGAATGAATTATTCATTGATTAATCAATGTAACTTATGATATTTTCATGGTATTTGTTGATTTTTCCAATTCCTTTATCAACTTTGAGTTTCCACACTTTCTCTCTCTAAATTTCTAAGCTTCGGAGGTTAGTCCTCTATTTTAATCCTAGTCTTTCATAAACATTTACTCTCTATAATTATGAACTACAAAAACATTGAACATTGAATTGACCTGATTAGTAAAAAAATTGAACTCTAGTGACAATTTGGTTAAAGTAATAAAACTGAGACACCATTTGGACCAAAAAAATCTTCTTTTTTTTTTCTTCTGATAAACACCTCAAAATGCACAATTTAATATTTGTATGTGTTTTTTAAATTTATTCTTCATATTTTTAATTTTCTAACTAATATTCTATCCCTTTTTATTTCTCTAAATCCCCGATCACCCAATTTTATTTCCAACCCCACTTTTAATTATTTTCTTTGCTTTTTTTATTTTTTATTTATTTTATTTTTTTATAGCACCATTTTCTTATTTAGGACGTTGCATATTAATTGCACCATTATTATATTTGGTATGCTTTCATACACTTTTTGTTTGTGTTCACACGGTCGATCGCACAGGGCCCTAAGTGAAACTACTATAAAAGGGCCCCAGTTTTTAAAATGTACTTATACAAAATATAGAGAAAACTTGTTAATCAATAATCTATTCTTCAATTTTATCATAAAATTTAGTAGAATATCATTTCTTAAAGAAATAATTTTAAGACCCAATTTAACAAAATTGCACAGGGCCATTTCAGTGTTAGCATTTGTAGCCCCACCTAGTAAATGCCTATCCTATCTTTACTCAAATTTGATATTTACCTTTGTTACCAAACTCTCTTTCTTTTATTTGTAGTCACATGGACACTTTTGTTGTTTAATTATTTTCTTAATCTTTGTGCCCAGATCAAATGGTGCAATTTAAAAATGATGGTTAGAAAATTATGGTGAAATTAATATTTAAACTCATTTTTTTTTCTCCAAACTTTTATTTCCTTAAAAATGGATGGAAAATTAAATGGGAAAAATAAATAGGAGAAATAAAACCACATAAACAAACTGAATAAGACAATTGCTAATAGTTTGTGTCAGAAAATTTTAGATTTTTTAGGCCAAATGTTGCCTTAGATTATTTTTTTTTAATTTTTTTTATTACCAGTGTCACATGGGGCTAATTTTTTATTTTATTAAATTGTCTTTTAAGTTATTTTTTTCGGTAGGGGTCAAATTTTTTGCCAAATTGGTTAGTTGTCCACGGAAACACGTTGCTCAAAATTGGGTTTCACTAAAGTCACGTTTGTGGGTGAAGTGGACGCGTTTAGGGTCGGCAAAAAATAGGAAAATAGGCCACCACTAGCGTAACCCCTCTTTGTTAACGCGGCTAAGGGCTTGAAGCTTTACATTGTTGATAGACATATTCATCTTACTCTGTTCTTTGTCTAATATTCACTCTAAGACCATAAACTCACAAACAAGTATGTTTTAAAATAGAAATATGTTGAGGATGGAGAATTTTCGAGCATAGAGAGCCTAAAATGAGAACAAAATGAGCTAAAATAAGTATTTGTGATGATAGGGTAGTTTGGAACTTGACGTGTAGGATATGTAGGACCATAGGATAGCTAATACTAGCTTTTAGGTTTCAAAGCAACTATATACAACAACACCACTCACAAATAGCTAACACTAGCTTTTAGGTTTCAAAGCAACTATATACAACAACACCACTCACTAAGTTACAAACCATGAACTTAGGTTTCATAACCACCAAAGCTCTAAATTGAGTACCTTATCATGCAATATCACAGAGTCTACTCTAGACTTTTAAAACTGTGTAAATTTTTACCCATTTAGACAAAAAGCATAAGATTACACAAATTCAATGCTATTATGACCAAGTCGAGAGTGAAGCAAAATGAAAACTTCAAATTTGCCCGAAGTAAAACAAAGATCTTTTTGTAATCATTCAATAATATAAAAATATGAAACGGAAATTCACATACAATTATGGATGACAATAATTAATCAAAATACCACCACTACAATATAGATTACCTACACTAAGCTTGAATCAAACATTGAACTCAAGCCTTAACATAGAGAATCAAAGGGAGGAGATTTGCTTCGCATAAACATCTAAAGCATTATTGTTCTTCTCTCTTCTTGATCCAATTCAATGTATGATTGTTTATCGAAACTACGACTCGGTGTTTTGAACAAACGAAGATTCAAAGTGATTGAAATGAAATAAAATAAAAGAAATATAATACGGTTTACTTCCTATGAAACAAATTTAAGCCATTATGTTTGACCCCACTAGAAAATAATGATCACAAGAGGTTGTCAAATGCCTTGGCGTATATTTCAAAGATTATAAGTATGTACTTGAAGTACAAAAGATCTATGCGACTTTATGTTTGTTTGGGGCAAGGGTGCCTAAATTGATGAAAATCAAAAGAAAAATTAAGAAAATAAGAATAATAAAAATCAAAATGAAAACGAAAACGAAATTCTAAAGAAGAAAAGGAAGATATGCTCTCATATTGTTATTCTTTAGGTGATGCAAATTAAATAAGGATTTCAAAATGTGAGTAGGATTGAATAGGAATACATTAGATCAAACTTTCTTAAAATGGATAGAGGTGAAGGAATTGGAAATATGGTTTCACACATAGTTTCTCCTACATCACTAAGCCTTGAAATGCAAGATTTTAGTGGTGTTATGTTCAAAACATCTAAACTTTCCTAAAAAGGTTTAAATATGTCCTCAATAAGATAAAGCTTTCTTTAAAGTGGGATATGAGGTGAAGGAATTGCAAACATAGTTTCACAAATAGCTTCTCTCCATGACTCAAATGAGATGGGTTAGAAAATGATTAGTGGTATAGATCAAGAGGAGGGGGAATAAAGTCAAAATTCCTTGACGTCATGCACTCTTAAAATCTAATTTCATCATTCCACTCTTTTGACTTAACGATATTATCATAATCATGCACTTGAGCTTTATAAAATTCAAGATCAAGCATCATAGATATATGAACTTCTAATTTTCCCTTTCCCCTTATCGAAACTTCAAATCTTTGCTCTAAAGCTATGAACTCACAAGCAAGCATGTGTACATATAAAAATACATTCTGAATGAACTCATTTTGAGCAAAACCGACAAAAAGTGAGAACAAAACGGCTAAAATGAATATTTGTGACATGCTACATATAAAATTGATAAAGGAACACAAGGTGATTAAAACTAACTAAAATGATAAAGAAAATTGCTTAGAGTAATTAAATTCTTACACTAAGGGTGACATAAATATCACTCATCATCATACAAGAAACATAGGAGAAAATAGAAACATGATTGCTGTTTGTAAATTTTACTGGGCTGAAATAAGCTATTAGCTTTGTTATGCTTCTGATGTGATGGTTGAAACCTCTGGTGAAGTTTCAATATCCATCTTTGTGTATAGTTGTCACTTATGGAGAAAACTCTTCAATACCCTGATCTACTATCCCTTGTTAAGTAATAATTTTAAATCTTCAACCTGGAAATATTTGTAGGGAACAAAGACCCTGGCTGATAAAGAACTATGGTAGAGCTTGGAGATGATATAAAAAGAAATTTTTTCTGTTTCACCTTTTAATGTGTAAAATTGAAGTGTGTTCTTTCTTTTGTAGGAGGGTATCTTTTTAGCTCATCATTTGATAAAACAATCAATGTGTGGTCTTTACAGGTATATTAATTTGATTCAATCTTGATTTTATGTATTAAATTTCTGGGTGATATGTTTAGAAATTTCCTGTACCTATAGTATATTTCCTCAATATGCCTGATTTTTTATTTTCTAGTTTCCAGAAAGAGAATAAATGCATCATGAATGCTATCTTTTTTTCCTAATGTTAGAGCAAAGTGGGTAGTATTTGATACAAGTAGTGATAAGAAAGTAGTAAGATGTGTCATTAACTTTTTTTTTTTAAATTTTTTTTTTTTATGTTTTTATTTTTTAGTTTTTTTTTTAATTGCACCATGCTTCTTTGGCTTGTTATTTGAGGAAGTGATTCAAAATGGTAAATGGAATGAATAAAATATAACTTTAAACCACTGTCTTTTTATCGGTGGTAAAGTTATTTCAATTAATTTGTCCATTTACTTAGTTTAATATCTTCAAGTGTGTTCCAAGTAATGAAAATAGAGGAAGCGTATCTTTTTTATAAGTACGTGACTCCTTTATATAGGGTTAAGGATGCCTTCTACATTATAGTGATATAATGACGAGTCATAACTTTTGGCATTAACTGCTCCTAATAACTCATTTACATTTTAATTTAGGAAAATTTGTTAGAATCAACCTTCTATATGGAGCGTTTTGGTAGAAATAACATCTTAAAAAGATTATGGGGAAATTAATACCTTAAACAATTTATTTTTTATTTTTAAGATGAAACCTTACTCTATACTAGCGTTAACCAAATCTGTTCGGTGTTGACCCGTGCATGCCAATCAAGTGACAACTGTTTCTTCTAATTACACTCATCTTCTTCTACTTGCACTCCTTTCTTTCTCCAAAACACCATTTTCATTTATTTCATATAATTCCACACCATGGAGCCCCAAAGCTTCCCATATACATCTTCATCTTTTTCATTTCCTCCAAAGCTTTAGTCATTAAAGGATGCATCTATTCTCTAAAATCCCTCTTTTATATATTCTTTCCTTTCCAATGCAATTTCCTTTTGCCCCAATTTTAATCCTTTTACCATAAAAATTAATTAACATAAACCCTTAAATTGCTGTGAATGCTAATATTTTTCCCGATTCACCTGTGACATTGGTTTTTGTAATATGCAAGGATTCATTTTTCAACGTACCCTAAAAATTGAAAGGGCCCCTCAATTTCAAGGTAATATCCTCCCCAATCTTTAATTTCAAGAGAATAATCATTAATGGTGGGAAGACTGTAACAACAAGCGAAGGTCGGATTCTTATCATTTAACAATCTATTCCAATGGCGTCCGCGCTACCCTTGGTGAGCTATGCAGACAAAAATCTCCTCTACATGCTTCTAAAGAAATGTGGACGCGATGAGGCCATGACCTGCTACTTAGCCTAATTTGAATTCTTTTTCTTCCAAGCCACTTCTTGCTATCTCCATGGCTATAAATTTAGCAAAAATCCTCGGAAACAGCCTCCTTTCCTGCACACGACTAAAGCAATGAGAATGAAAGAACGAGAGGGGAAGACCAACAAAGTGGAGAAAGAAATTGAATATACATGCATTTCCCTCATTAACTGCCTAAGCATGCAAGGTAAAGGAAGAGAGGAGAAACTAGCTAGAAAAGGAGCTCAAAAAGTGCCTAAATCTCTCTAGTTTAATATCATTTGAATGTCAGAAATGGCACTCATCGATTTTATGAGATTTTAGCTTATTTAGGCCAAATTAGCTATTTGACAAGCCTTAAAAGCTATTTCTGGTGTTTTTGTGACTAGAGGTTTCAACTAGAGTTTTAAGGTCCAAACAGGTAATTCAGAAATGCTGGTAAAGGTAGTGTTCTCTGATGAGAGCTTTGTAAAATCCTTGCAATTGGCATGCTTACCCAAATTAATCTCAAACCAAAGCAAAATAAGGGACTGATTTGTAACCGTTAACAAATTATATAAATTCACAAATGTACAAGAACACTTTTTCTTTTTTCCTACTGATTGGAGGAGGAGCTTCATTCACTGGGAAACTCATAAAAATCCACCTTTGATTATGCTTATTTTTGTGGATCTCTTGATTGGGTTGAAAATTAGGAGAAAGTGAGGGAAGAAGAATTGAATTAAGGGAAAAAAAAGAAAAAAATAGATGACCAATTATTCCTTTTGGAGATAAGGGTATTTGTAATTGGATGATTTTAACCTACCGATTTTTTGTTACATGTAAGAGAAAAATGGTAGAGAAGGATGAAATAAAAAAAAAGAAAAGAAAAGAAGGAAATGATGGGTGACTTGGTGAGCCAAAAGGAAACAAAGGGTTGGTTAATTTTGTTGTAGGTAGATCACAAATGGGATTTTTTTTTTTTTTTTTCTAAGAATAGTATGGAGAGGTCTTTAGTTGTAATTTTATTTTTTTAATAAAACATAGTGATATATAAAATACAAATGTATATTAAAAAAGAGATGTATTCATTCCCTTGAAATAACTATTTTTAAGTATGACATCTTATTATGCGAAAACTTCAATAAATAAATATGAGTAAATTTATGTTATTTTCCATCATTTCTGCAGTTTAGTAAGACATTGCAATTAATTTGGTAATAGATCAATAACTTGGGAATTTTGTATATTTAAAAACTGTTAGAGCATGAACCATTGCTTTTTCAAATTGTTGTGTTAGTTAAAGTATATTTTATGCTAGTATCTTATTTCAAATATTCACCATATAGATGTATATTACTATACTCTACAATAAATTCTATTATGTCCTTGTGTCATTTACGAGATCAAGTAGCTATTAGCTAAAAGCTACTTACCAAACACTTGTACAAACAATTAATACAATTAGCTAGTCAAACCAGCTAATATAATCAGTTAGTCAAGCCACTTGATCTAATAAGCTAATAGCTTATTACAATTTGTTGATGTGTATTTAAAATTTTTTGTGAATGATGGACCCCATCCAAATGAGAAATGGGGCTTATATCTAGGGACTGATGGACTAACAATCAAAACGACCAATGAAATAATTTTTAAAAAAGCTGAAAAGTTAGTCATGGACGTATATTATAGTGTATATTTTCTGCTAACTGATATTTAGTTCGTCAATTCTTTTATTTCCATGGAAGAGTATGACATTTATCAAACATTTCCCCTCCTAATTCATTTTTCATACGCTAATAATATAGTCACCACCTACCCCTCCCCCCCCCCTTCCCCCCCTCCCACACACACACACACACTCTCTCTCTCTCTCTCTTCCATCTTTTATTACTAATTAGTTGTCCAACAGCCTACACTAAAGAAAGTAATGGTTATGATTAATAATGTACGGAATGGCATTATAATAGTTGCAACTTTTTGGTAGCTTATGATTCAAATGGTGTTCTAAAGCAAGTGGAAGGAAGGTGAACTATTGCAAAACATTAAAACACCTTTGTTGTCATTTAAATATTTCAGCTAGTACATCAAGTGACTTCATCAAACATATATCTATAATTAGCTAGCATAGCAGTTTTCATTGAACTTTCAATCTTACAATTGTTTCTCAGTTTCTAACTAGTTTTGTCTGACCAACCAGAGCTTAAAACAAACTCATTCACTTCCATATTTATAATACTGTCAGCTAGATGATCATTCTTTGGCTTGCAACTTTTCAAAATTCTGCTATTATTCAGCTTCTAGCTACAATCAACTCTTGATCCATGCTATTAATCTCCCAAAGCATGTTTAAATTCAAGGGAGGTAATAGACAAGAAAAATGCTGCTTGTGGAATAGTGGAATGCTGTGTGATTAAATTCTACATCATTGCTCTATGTTTGTCAAACTTTTTCCGAGATTTGCATTCGTTTTTTTATTTCCCTCTCAATCTTCTAACATATTTCCCTGAATGAACAAAGAAGTGAATCTAGGTATTTTGGAATTAGTTGCAGTGTCGAAAAGCTCTCTACACTAGGCATGAACTGCAAACCTTGCTTAAGTTCTTCTGGATAGATCAGATCTAGGGTGGTGACAAGTTTCTGTGTAACCTCCTCCATTTTGCAGAATTACTTGATGCATTATTTTTTTCTTTTAGAATCTTTTTTTTTTCCCTCTCCAATCTATGAAATATAGATGTTTGACTAAAAGAACTTTTAGAGTTTTAGATGTTTCATTCTTTCCTTTGAACCCCCTTGGGATCCAGCTGCATCCATTCAAGTAGATGTGTCCTTTTAAATATTGAAAATTCCACTCATTTACCCTCACAAAAATTAGCCTCAAAAAGCTCATAACCTTTTATCAGAATTTTACCTCTACAACTGCCTATTTTTACTTTCTGTAAAAACTCCAGTCTTATCACAGATCCTGGAATTCTGTCAAAATGTAAGTCTACCAGCTATACCCTGAACTGAGGGAGACTTCCAGAGTTCCTGCAAACGTATATCTGATTACCATTTAAGCCTTATTATTTTTTTCATGTGTCTGGTCAGATTAGAATAAACATGAAGGGAGCCTGATTTTAGCATCTTATTCATGACATATGCCGATTTCCCAACTCTTGGCCTCCATTTTATTTGACATGTCATAGAAGTTGCCAGACCTCTTAACCTTGAGTTCAGTGGCTCATTGTTCCTTCTGCTGAAGGAATTATTATTATAGAATTAGAATTTTCCTGCCCTCCACTTTAGTATCTGTATTAATTTGTTCATCAATCTTAGGGTGTTGATTAGGGGTGTAACTAAGTTGATTCAAGTTCAAGCTGATCTTGCTCAGCTTACATTGCTCGATCACCTAGAGGGCCAGGTCAAAGCTTAACAAGCTTGAACCCAGCTTGAATGCAAAAGGGTGGAAGCTTGACTTGTTTGCAAAACGTGACAGTTGGCATAGGCTTCGGTCTGGCTTTGAAGCTTACAGAGCTGGCTTGGGCTTGGATCTAACCAAGCTTGAGCCAGACTTTGATCAAGCTAACTGGGAGTTATCTGTGCTGTCTGAATTCATATGCCAATGCCACTAATTGAGGCCATCATCCTCAGAAACACTGGTAATCTCTTGATCAAGTTGCTTCAGACTTTCTGTTGCATATACTCTCCCTCATAAACATACTGCAATTGGAATTCTTAGAGCTGGAACTTGCTCCCTGACTCTTAATTTTTTGCATAAAGCTAGTAATTCCCTGCACCTAGGGCTGCAGTTTCGCTCTATTGATTTCCTTTCTGTTCCTTTATTTCATCAGGGTAAAGTTTCTCATTCAAGCTCACAGGTTTGAGCTCAAAGTGTGTGATATTTAATTTAGTTTCCACTTTTGGAGGACAAGCTATGCTTTGATACCACTTATGCACACTTCAACAGTATGACAAAAAAAAAAAAAAAAAAAAACAAAAGAAAAAGAAAAAAAAAGAAAATTCAAATAGAAGAGAATTAATGTTGAAATGTATTACTTTGGCGAGATCATCCCTTTCATTCACTATGGGATGGCAAAAATGTATTACCATTCAAGCTATTTTTTTCCATGCTTTTTGAATCCCACAAAGGAAGGACTGAACAGAAGTGGAGAATAAGGATTTGATCATATAAACTTAATCCCCTATGATTCTCATCCTCCACTTGGATTAAGGCAGGAGATTTGCTTAGCAGAGATATTTATTCAATTATAAGTATGTATTTACTTCCTCCATCTTCTTTTACTTGCAACATTTCTATAGTGTTCACTATTCACATATTCCACTTCAACTAAATTTTGTGATATATACTTGAAGAAAAACGTAGTCATATGAGATCTTGTTAGATCCGTCTCAATGTATAATTTTATTGAAATCTAATAGCAGTATATAAATTTTACATGCATTACTAAAGATATTAATGGTTGAAGTTATGCATTGGCAAACGTGAAAAACAGAAATGTTGCAAGTAGATTATAATATAGAGGAAGTATAATTTACCACTTAAGCATATAAGGTCTTTGAGAATCTAAAGGCTAGGATAAGATAAAGAAACATGCTTTGTCTCTTCAAATTTCATTCGATGCATAATGATTGCTTTAAATATTTACCAAAAGGAAAAGCCATGATTGTGCTAGTAACATGTGTTTTGCTACTATGTGGGACCATTTCCTGTTTTATGTTTTAAAGTTCATCTATTCTTTCTTTAATCTTCCATCATCCCACCTATAACTTTCTTATTGTTTGATTTAATTGGGGCAGGATTTTGTGCATGTGCATACGTTTAAAGGTCATGAGCACAAAGTCATGGCTTTGGTCTTTTTAAATCAAGAAACGCCTCTGTGTATCAGTGCTGACAGTGGAGGTGGTATATATGCCTGGGAAATAAATGAGACTTTAGCTCAAGAACCCTTGAAGAAGTGGTATGAGGAAAAAGATTGGCGTTATAGTGGCATTCATGCCTTAGCTGTTTCCGAATCTGGTTGTCTCTACACTGGCAGTGGTGACAGGTTGATAAAAGCTTGGTCATTAAGGGTGAGACATCTTTACAGCTGTTTTTTTTTTTTAATTTAATTAATTTTTTGAGGAAATTTTTACAAGTATTCTAAAAGGGTGTTAAGTGATTATTAATCAGCAATTCAGTATAGTCATGAAACCTGTAAAATTTTCATATTGTTCAGGATTATACCCTGCTGTGCAGCATGGAGGGTCATAAATCAGTGGTTGCTACCCTAGCATTGTGCAATGGAATTCTGTACAGCGGAAGTTGGGATGGTACCGTTCGATTGTGGTGTCTTCACGATCACAGTCCTCTAGCAGTATTTGGTGAAGACATTCCTGGGACAGTGTCATCTGTGCTATCTCTTGTTGTGGACCAAAATATGATCATTGCCGCTCATGAGAATGGCTGTATAAAGGTGTTGAAATCAAACCCTACTTTTCTTTGGTCCATTTGGTTACAACAATTAATAAGTATTGTAAATCCCCTACGTACTGTTTTTATAGACATTAATTGAAGTATAGAATGCATTCTCTTGTCCTTGCTAATACCTGTTGACAACTAGCACTTTCTTTTTCGGATGAGCAATAATCCGCTTGTTTATCATAATTTATTACATTGAAAAGGTGAGATATATATTGACCAACCAATTAATTATAGTTTTCTTATAAAGCTAACTCCTCAAAAGAATATACTCTGTGCAATAAATCAGTCTTAGAACTACCTCCGTAAAGAATACAAGTGTGCTGCCTAGTAGCTACTCGCACTTAACTGTTTTTCCTGCCATATATTTCTTTCCTAAATGTTCATATCATATTGTTGAATGCTGAGGATTTGCATCACAGATCTCTTTTTTTGGCTACTGTTTGTTTACATGATGTGTTAAATATCATGTCTTTTAGAACTTCCTGTTCCAGTTCTTTCATTCTGACACTTATCTACGTAATATTAGTGAAAATTGCTCTTACGCTTATTGATATTTCCATTTCTTCTTCCCACCCCCTCCGTTCTAATGTTTTGGATTAGCCAAGCAATATTTATATTTTATAATCAAATTATAAGTTTTTTTTTTTTTTTTTTTTTTTTTTTTTTTTTTTTTGGGAGATGTTAGCTATTCCACAGCATTTATACTCTATAGGCAAGGGCTTTCTACACAAGCAACATAAGTGTCTGAGAAAGGGATTAAACATTGACTCTTTCTATGGGAACCTGCAAATTAAGCACTGAAATGATTCTTCTAGGTTTTCTAGTACTCGTGGCCAGTATATTTTAAATAGATGGAATTATTTTGTTCTCTGATGAGAAGGGGGGAGGGGGGGGGGGGGGAAGCAAGCAAATTAGATTTTATTATATTTATTACTTTATCTATTTGAGTGACACTAAACTGACTTCAAATTTTGCAGATGTGGGTTGATGATGAATTTAAAACGTCAACAAAAATCCAAAATGGGGCCACTCTTGCTCTTGCAATGGATGGGAGGTGGCTTTTTCTTGGAGGATGGGGCCGGACTATAAACGTCCAGGTATGTTTACAAAATCTAGACGATCAATAGCATTGTAACTTAGGCCTTGTTCTCTTCAAAAATTATTTAAGTTCAATTAAAATAAGTTATGTTCAGTAAAAAAAAAAATTTGTTCAGTAAAAATTAGTTAATTTGGCCATTAAGTAAAAATAGGTTTTAATCTATAAAATTCATAACTTCAAATTACAAATATAAAAACGAATCAGTAAACTAATTCCAATTCAATGTAAATAATTTAATTGTAGCAAAAATAATTAATATTAGTGAAATTAGTATATAATAAAAATAAATAAATAAATAAATAAATAAATAAAAAAAGTAATTGAGCTCAGTAAATATAGGGTGAAGAGAGAAGGCCTTATACACACTACCTATTAAACTATTGAATTTATTCTTCTGGAGTTAACTTGCCATTCAGCTTCTGTATAATAAATTCATCATTTGGAAAAGGAATTACAAGGCATGTTCGTACTATGAATGACATTTGTATCATCCGCCTTACCTTCCTAGAACATTGCTAGTGGTAGTCTTATCCATTAACATTCAAGAAGTTGCTAAATTATCTTTTATTCCATGTGATATTTCTTGAACAATTATGAATGATATTGTAGGAGATAACAGGATCTGAATCTGAGATGGATATTTTAGAAGTTGGATCTATTGCTTGCGATTCTGTAATAACAGCTATACGGTGTGTACAAGGGGCTCTGTTTGTTGGATATGCTAACAAACTTGTCAAGGTGATTCTTTTCATTGACATTGGCAATCACTTAACAAATACAGAGTATCAAAAGCATTATTATGGATTGATCAAAGTGCATATAGGTAGCATTTGACATTTTACATTAATATCACCCTTCCCCCCACCCCCAACTCTGCTTAAAGGCCTTGTCTACTGATCAGGCTATACAAGCAAACCCTATTCCCTCAGTAGTGGCTGAGGTGATTCTCATATAGGCCACAGTGGGGCGAGGCAGTTATATGTGCCCTTGCCCCCAGAATCTGCAAGGGTTTTTACCATACATCCTTATTCTAAAAGGCAACTGACTGGCCCACTACTTTGTGGTAATGACATAGTTGGAACACTTGTTTAAAACAGACGTCTTAAACCTTCTAAATAATTGCATAGAGACTAAGACAAAATGAAAACAAACAAAAGAAAAGAAGGGTAAAGAAAAAAAAAAAACCCTAAAGTGATATTACGAGTGTTACCATAACACACATTCCCGTATCTTTTTGTTGGGGTTGATTTTCTATCCAATATATAAAACATTAATCTTGATTCAGGCTATACTAAGTATCAGTCTACAAAGAAAATAATCAAAGCATGTTTGGGATAGTGTTTATAAGTGGTGGAAACAGAATAAATTAACCATTCCATTACCTTTTTTTTTTGGGTATGAGAGGTGAGTTAGTACACTTCATTTCCTAGGAGTAACTATTACTTCCCATTTGTTGCCTCTCCTAAACCTATGGTAATTAAATTGTTTCCTACCTCGAAAAGAAGGATAAGCCTAGTACTTATTCCAACAACTAAGATCTTAAAAGTATTAACATAAATAAGTCAGAGGGACTAGATTGTACTCTTTATCTAGTTATACATCTTATAACTATTGTGGGAAAGTTATATCGTCATAGTACTTATTCTAACAACTAAATTACTCCATATTACATTAAGAGTAATCATATTACGATGATAGGGTAACTTTAAATGACACATTTTGTTGAACTTAGCCCAGTCATGGAGCCAAGTCTTGTTGAAAGATTTGAACCATTTGGATTGCCATGATTTTAGAGTTAGTTGGACGGAAAACATAAGCAAGCAAACTTTTACCGATTTCTTTGAGAGCCATTAAAATGGTGAAGGATCTCAGATTGGTCTTCTGAATCTTCAATGTCTTTGAACTTGGAAAAGTCATTACTACCTTTTTTAGGTAGCTTCCCCTTGATCTTCTGATCGTTGTAACTCTTAATTGTATATCAATTCCGTTTCATAATGTCTTAAAATTTAGGAAACTTTGTCAAGAACAAGCTAACCTTTGCCCGGTTAGCTCAAAATAAGTCAATGTTTTGATTAACTAAAAATAAGCTGACCTTTATTTTGAGTTTATTTTGAGCTAACCTCACAAAGATTGACTTATTTTTTACAAATTTTCCTAAAATTTATTGTTTGCACAAAAAATTAGGACAGTAGAGAGTGTAAAAATGTAAGTGGGTGTAAAAAGAGGTGGACAACGTAAGAAAGGTGTAAAATTGTTGTGTATAAGACAGTTTGTGGATAATAAGAAAGAGTGAGTGAAAAAAGTATATTGTGAGATAAGGGAGGTACTATTGTTGAATGCGTTTACAAATGAATAAAGTGAAAGGGTTACAAAAATTATGAAATGGGTGAATTTATTATATAACCAAGATAATATTATATTGAACATACTCCCTTTATTGCATATTAAGTGATACATTTTTAATTTTTTTTTTCCCACTATTCTTGTACTAACTTGGACTGTACATGTTTAGAAGTATTAAAAACAATTATATCTTGTAAAATATTATTGTGAAGATTTATAAGTTTTTTTAAAAATTAAATGTTACTGATTTTTAATTTAATAAATTTTTGCTGTCAACCTCATGCATTGGAATTGTGTCAATTTTATTGTGTCAGTTATTCTAAAACAGTACTTCGTATATGCTTAATTAATGTCTGTCATTTACCAGGTGTATTATTGTGATGCATGATTGAAATGTGAAGTACTGTGTTTATAGACTTTGACAAAGGAAGAGTTGTTGATAACTTTATTTGTATAGCAAGGAAAGTTGAATGGAGGAGGCCCTTTTCCGAAGCTGCATCACCAAGCTTGTTCTGGTTTGTAATGGCTCCCAAAGGAAGAGTTGATACTTATATTTGTTTGTTTCTATATTAGAGGAACCGGATTAGAATTCAACTGAAGAATCACATTCCCGATCAGAGTTGCAGTTTACATAGTTGTGTAAGTATTGTACATAAATGGTACCTGGCAAATTTCTAATAATTCGAAGTACCATTCTTTGGTTTTGATAGCCTGTTATTGGGTTGTTCGATTCAACAATGAAAAGTCCTAGTTTATGACCCATCTAATGTATGAAATTATAAAGTATAAGATACATGTAAGTGGAATATACTTCTTTTGTTTTACTAAAATTGTAACACTTAAAATGGACATAATATCTAATATAAGAGGAAAAAGTGCAAAAGGCTAAATGGTGAATGGTTATTTTAATGATGATAAACAGGAGTAAGATATTATCCAAAATACACGAGTGTTGCACTTTTAGTGTAATAAAGGAAGTATAGCCTCTCGTTTTTCTAATTCATAATAATGAATGTACAATTCAACAATTAAGATTACTAGTGGAAACTTATGTTATATTAGCCCTAATAACTTGAAAAAAGTCATTACTTTGTGATTGACAACAAAATTTTTAAAGAGAAAGGGAGTAAGAAGAGAGTTTTTAAAGAGATGTATATATACCCACCTAAAAACAAAATTAGAATTTTGTCCAAAGGTTATTCATACCCAAGATAAACTCTCTTTCTCTCATATTTATTTTCTCTCCCCTATTTTCCCTTTCCCGTTTCCCTCACTTCACCTCATGCAAGGTGGCCGGCAACCACTACACCACAACCGACCATTGTCACCAGCACATGGCCGGCGGCAGCAGCAACCGCGGGGGGTGGTAGCCGGCCGTCCTTTACTCTCTCCCCTTCTCGGCGTGCGTGTGTGTTTAAAAAAAAACAAACTCTTAATTAATTTTAATGATTATAATTATAATTTTGGGATGTTTGAATTGAATCTTTGATGAAATTATGTTTGATTGTTAAAATGAATTTTTCGGATTTTGAATTAGAGCAAAAAAAAGCCCCAAATTTTGAAACCCTAGTTTTAGAAATTAATGGGTATTGATTGGAAATTGGTGTTATTGGATTGGATGGTTGAAATTGATGATTTAATAGCAAATTACAGCAAATTTTATTAATTTAATAATGCTGAAAATTTAGGAAATTTTGTCAACAACTACCAATTTAAGTCTCCGTTTTGAAAACAACTACCTTTTAATTTTTATTTTTTTTTAAAACAACTACCACAAAAATGTAAAAAGTTAGAGTAGCACTACGACATGTAAAATTCCGGCAAGAATTTCCGGCAAGTGGGTCCCACTTTCTACATTTCCCTCTAATTTTTTTTTTCTCTCTCCTCTGTATATAACTGCAAATGTTCGAGCGTTAATTGAACAAAATTTCCAAAAAAATTTCTCAAATTTTCTTCCTTTTTTCACCAATTGAGCAAGAGGAATAATTTCTTGAAAGCTACCTCAGGTAATTTGAGAATCTTATATGCTAATTTGGGTTCAAAATTGGGGAAATTAGGGTTTTGCAATTTTTTGTTTTTTGGGTAAATTGAATGGATTTATTCACATTAGGGTTTATTAATTGGTTGTTATCCCTGTATTTGCAGGAATTTGCAAATTGAATCATGTCCAATTCATCCTGACTTTAAGTGGAATTTGTCCTTCACCCGCTGTCACCATCTTCCCCTTCTCCATTAAAGCTCCAACTTTCCCAAAGTGGAAACGACAACTCCACTTTCGTTGCAAATTTGGACCACCGCGACAGAGACAGAAAACGTGAGGAACAGTGGGGCAAATTCAATGACCTGAGTGTGAGGTGAGAAAGTGCGAATATTCTCTGAGAATTTCAGAGATACTTGACAATGGGGGTTTATGAGAGAGCAGGGGAGAGTTAGGCGGGAATTAAATGAAGAGAAGGGAAGGTAGTTGGGTGTAAAACAAAAGAGGGGTAATAAGGTAATTTCGCATGGTCAAATTGGAGGGAAAAGTAGAAAGTGGGACCCACTTGCTGGAGATTCTTGCCGGAATTTTACATGTGGTAGTGCTACTCTAACTTTATACAATTTTGTGGTAGTAGTTTTAAAAAAAAAAAAATTTAAAAGGTAGTTGTTTTCAAAGTGGAGACTTAAATTGGTAGTTGTTGACAAAATTTCCGGAAATTTATTGTACATATTTAGGGTAAAAATACCCTAGACATGTGGCCCAATGGGCTGGTGACACGTGGCGTATTGCCATTAGTCAACAGGGCTCCAATCCCCTATTGACACGTGTCCTTGGAACCCTGCATGGGGGACTTGTCTGCCCCACTATAAATAGTGGGACAAACCTCATTAATGGGGTATTCATAAATACAAACACAATTACCGAGCAATATTAATTGTGGAATTCTCCTAATCAGCGAGAAATACTTTACCATTTTCGTACTTTTACCTCCTGTACGTATACTAACTTGATCGTCGGAGGCGGAGCTCCTACCAATCGGAGTCTTCGTGATCTTGCAGGTACAGGCATCAGCAGCTCAGTCTCGGAATTGTAACTCTCCCGCAGGACATCTCAGAAAACCCCGAAACATTTGGCGTCGTCTGTGGGGAGAGTACTTCCAAGATGACTTATGATACTGTACCACCGAATCCAGACAAACGGCCCTTGGCCGAGCCTGAGGTCCACACGGACCATGAAAGTGGTGACGACTATGAAATCGACACCTATGTGGCCCCAGACGGGTCCTTCAGAACAAAACGCACCCATTCCAAAGAAATGAAGGAACGAGGTGAGAACCAAGCTGCTCCAAGCAACACAACCGGTACGCCGGTTGGGGATTCCCAGGCAGCAGCGGGATCTGCTCCCGTCACGAGAAACTAACTCATGACCTTCATGAATAGTTTCAAAGGCGAGATAAAGAATCTCATCCGATTAGCCACCCCCCAGAAGGGTCAGCCGGCCAAGAAGCCTTCCTCCTCTGGGAAGAAGGCTCTAAAAGATCGTGTGCCCATTCCTCATCCAAAGCCCAAGGTGGGGGAGGGGCCCCAGTTCGACTTAAATAGGCTCCGCTTCCCTCAAATGGAGAAAAGAAAAGCCATCCGGCACCTACAACCGGATGGATCCAAGAAAACTTTCTCTGATGCCCGGACATTTCTCTAGGAGAAGAGAAATAAGCTGTTGTCTGCGTCAGCCTCAACGTCGACCTTCCCTGACAGTTTCTGCAGTGCCTCCGTCAGGCCCTTAGAAACACACCAAGGGGTTCAGTCTCGCGAACCCTCCGCGCGATCTGGTCCCAAAGTGATCCAGCCGGGACAATATGGTCCGCCATATGTACCGGGTGGATCCCCTTTTTCTGCACCAGGCCTCTTCGGGGGTCATGGGCAGCAGCAGTTCCAACCCACGAATTAGCAGCTGCGTCTGCTTAATTTGGGAGAACAGCCTACGGCGTTCTCGCCAGACATAACTCAGGCGGCACAGCCGCCCAATGTCAAGAATGTGTTGGTAGGTTCCTATGATGGTACCTCCAACCCGGAAGACCACCTAATGGCATACTCCAACCTCATGTATCTACAGGGGTTGGATGACGCCGCCTAGTGTCGATGCTTCCCGGCAACCCTGAAGGGCATTGCCCAACGGTGGTTTGGTAACCTACCAGCCGGCTGCATAAATAACTTCAGATTTTTGGCGTACTTGTTTACGTCAAACTTCTCCATGAACATCCCTGCCAAAAAGACCAGCCTTGATCTTGGGGCAATACAGCAGGGTGACAATGAAGGACTTCGGTCCTACGTCAGGCGGTTCAATCTAATGAGAATTCAGATTCAAGGGCTTTCTGACGAAGTTGCTTACACAGACTTCTTCAAGGGTCTGAAGGATGGGTCGACCTTCAAGTTCGACCTCGTCCGGAAAAGGGTAGCCACCCTCCAAGAGGCATTAATGGAAGCAGAAGCCTATATACAAGTGACGGAGCTTTGTGTTGTAAAGCAACCGTCAGATTTCAAAAAATCTGACAGAAAAGATAACTGGCCACAGCAGCCGACAAAAAAGGAAGACAAGAGGAAAGGAATCTGGGTGGCAGATCGGTCTGGTCAGCCGGCCCAGAAGGCAAGAAGAAAATCTGAACCGTACGCCCCCAAGTACGAGTTCACAAAGGACTGCTCCATTCTCATGGAGATCAAGGACCGGTTGTCCCTCCAGAAACCGGCCGCCATGAAAAGTCCCGCCAGCAGCCGGGATAAGAGCAAGTACTGCCAATACCATGAGGATGTTGGCCACGACACTAATGGCTGCTATAGCCTCAGGTGGCTGTTAGATCGTCTAGCCGACGAAGGAGCTCTAAAGTCCTACTTGCCAAAGCCCAAAGGCAACCCCAAAACAAACAAGGGGCAGGCGGCAAAACCCGGCCCTGGTAACTGTGAAACGGATGAAGAGACAGTCTTCACTATAGCAGGCGGTTTTGCCGGCGGAGGCCCAACCATCCGGGGTACCAAAGACAACATCACGAAGCTGGTCAACTCAGTGGATGAGGGCCAGGCGTCGAGAGACACCTTTCCTGATGTCCTTATTTCTGAAAAGGACCAGGGTTAGGTCAGACGGCCCCACGATGACCCTATTGTCATCGAATGCAAGGTTGCCAACCAGAAAGTTGGCCGGATTTTAATAGATACCGGGAGCTCGTCTGACCTAATCAACTATCAGTGCTTGACAAAGCTTAAGTACAAGCCCAGCAGTATGAATCAGGCGCCTCACCCCTTAGTTGGCTTCGAGGGAGGAGTGGTGCATCCGGTGGGAAGCATTGACCTTCCTATCTGGCTGGGTGAAAAGGGGGAAGGACGCCATATGGTCGTAAAATTCTTGGTTATGGAAGAGCTGATTGCCTACAACATGATATTTGGGCGACCGACCCTCAACGAATCCAAGGCTGTGATCATCCCATCTCTCATGCTGGTCAAATTTGAAAAGGATGATGGTACAGTCGGTTCCCTAAACGGGGACCAGAAGACGACTATGGAGTGCTACCTTTCTGACGTCAAACCAACTATGGGTACAGCCGGCCATGGCGAGCCCATAGATGTTGATAACTGTGATCTCGCTGTCCCAGCTCCAAGGGCAGCCGGTAAGAAAAGAAAGGCAGACCAGCTGGCACCCGTCAAAAAAGAAAAACAATAGCAATCACTTGCCGGAGAAAGGTCGGATGACTTTCGACCCCAACCGGCCGGTGAGAGCGTTGATGTCGTCCTGGACGACAGCCGACCCGACAGAACCGTCAAGGTTGGGACGGTTGCTTTTAAAGTGTTGGGGGCA